TTGCACCGACCGGTCGGACCACGGCTCGTTATTCAATGCGTATAATCTGTTCCCCTCGACGACTTCTGGTGCCACACCACCGATATTTCCTGTCCTGAAGGAACCAACGACCTGACTTCGAGTTAACTCTGCTTTTATCCTCATTTATTCTTCACGTATGCATCCCTTCGGATAAAATTACTACAAGCTTTGAAACGATTTGTCCTTGCGAAATGGCAAACATAAAAAACGTAGACGTAAAATTTAAGTACGTTGGATACTAGAAACAAACATTTAAAAACATAATACCTATTGAAATATAATTATCATTTCCGGTCATATGGACCCGAGGAGAACAGCAGAGTTAAAGGAGGTTCCATTTCGTGGAACAGTATTTCGAAAATCAGATCAACCATATGCTGTGCCCTTATTTCATAAATAAATCATATTCTACACACTAATATTACCGTGGAATACTACCCCTGATGAATTCCCACCGAGTGTTTAATTCAAATGTTTGGTGTAATATAATTGACAAAATATCTAGGGATGAACTTAAGTTCCAAACTTAAAGGGAGGTTCAACCTTGTGAGTCCTAAAAAGTAGGTAATATTTGCAAATTTTTTGTAAAAAAAAACGTTAGACAGATTCATTTGAAATTTGAGGAGTTGTTTCGTTGTAGTTCTAACTATAATTTAAAATTTTTGTGTGGCGATACAAAAAAGGTCATGCGTGTATAGTGCGCCGATTGCAAAACGTTGAGAAAAAATCGGCTAGTCCTGCCGTTGATGGAAGGAACGCTATGGTTTATCTGAAACACAAAAAGGAAATGAAATCCTTAATCTGTATGAGTATGGCTATCTGTGGAACTAGAATTCTTGCTGTATCTATTAGCGTTCTTTTCTTATTTAAAAAACTTTTTGTGATTTTTGAACGAAATACAATCTTTCTTTTTGGAAAAGCTGTTATATCCTATAGTTTCATTTCCTCTTTTCATTGCACATTTTCTCGTATTGCGAAATGACGACGCAAAATGTCTACGCTGAATTGATCAACGGTGATCACGAAGTTCATCGGACGGGAAATGCTTAATCGACATTCCTCGTCGTCCATTGGATCAGGGAACTGACGAAATCTCTACACGATTTTATACGGTCACCAGGGCAATATAAGCACACGGGAAACGACACAAGAGCTTTTTTTTCTTCTTATTTCAGCAGTCGCGGTTGATGGTGATTCGTCTATTCTTCAGGCGCAACGGCGAGTTCGTTCGTTCGCTCTTCGACTTCGCTCCATTATTTACACGGAAGTAGTTTTCCGTGACGTTTCCTATTTTCGGCGACGCGAGCTTGCGATTACGCGGGGCCTGACAGGCGAGTTTTCGAAAACACCGGACCGTAAAGTGTAATGCCGCGTACCCATCTGAGCATGCGGGCCGCATGAGCACAGGATAAGTGGCTGACGGACGCCGAAGAAGCGAACGTGCTCGGGTGTGGACGGCGAAGCGTGCACGAAGCCGAACATTTGGGGCCGTTCCCTTCGTTGGCGGTACTTCAAAGTGAGCATGCTGTCGGATGGAAGGTTGAATGTGTGTTGTATTGATGTGAATGGTGAACCCGTCAACGACGAAGGATCGCAGGAATCCAAAAAATTTCTAACACTATTTTAATGGTTTCAATGATTCTAGTATGGTATCATTTAAAAAAGTTACTTCTGCATAGATCAATATTACATTCAGCGATTAATATTACAAAGTAATTTACGTGTGATAACTCAATATGTGAAAAACTTCGTTTCGGTCGCTGACAATAAACAAACATTGGATGCTGCAATTCTTGGCGGTTGCGAGAAGTTTTTGTAGATAACTTGTTACATGCCAGCTAGTTAGGACGTGAACTGCGGAAAACGCCTAAACATGGCGATTAGTCAGTAGCATTTAGTCACTAACAATAAGTGAAAAGAACCTTTGCTACTTCTATAGTTCGTGCCACGTCATTCCTTTTCCATTTCTTTCTTTTAAACACAATGGTAATTTAGTAAACACAATAGCGACATACTGATTCCAATTTTAACATAGCATTAATAAAACCAACAAATTTTCTGTTGACACGAGTGTGAAGTTTTTAAATTGATTACTTCATATTTCAGCATTTACTTTTGTCTGAAATATTTCATTGTACCTTTTGGTGTATATTCTATCAGTTTTCTTGATCCACCAACGCTTCTTACTCTGATTTTTCTTCTGTAATAATATATGTAATACTATACGCTATCATTAGCTAACAAGGTAATGATTCCCTAACTACCACTTTGATTTTATCGATCATTTGCAGGATGATACAATACATATTTCTAATGATTGTGTGAAATATTATCCGTAGTTACTTGATAGTTTTGAAGGTATAATTAATTAAAGTCACATACTTAGTTATATATGTACTATGAATATAGGTGTCTGTTTGTGATATTATTGTAAAAAGTTAATGTTTCTGTAGTAATTAATTAGTCTTGTAGTAATTAATTTTCACGCAACAAATCAATTTACCATCGCGGATTTTCACAAACAGACATATATACTCATAGTATATATGTAACTAGGTATGTAACTTGAATTAATTATACTTTCAGACCTATCAAGTAACTACGGCTAATATATCACAACTATCGTTAGAAACATGTAGGGTAAAGCAACCAGAAATTGACTGCTTACCAGTGAATGACCATTAAACAAGAAATGTAAACTATAAATTTAAAAAGTATTAAGTGTTTATAAATGGCCCTTAGTTCCACCTTCAATATCCCATATTTTTAATTCAGCGTATTAAGTAAACATTAGTAAGTACAATTCTTATAAAAATATTTTGGAAATGTAGCAGTAATGTACTGGACTTTCACATGTTTTGCAGTTTATAAATAATTTTTTAAAAATTACTATAAGAATAAGTAATTATTTTTATAAAAATTTCAAGAAAAATATATGTAATTGCAATTTCAACACTTGTTTAGTTGTTATAAATAAATACATTCACGTATTAATCTCAAACGTCCATAAATGGAACAATTCGGTCCTTCACTGGTTGGTTTACCCTATTCTATCATCCTACAAAATATCGATAAAATCGAAGTGGTACAATTGGGGTCCTTCCCTTGTAAGTACAATATCTCACAATTAAATTTCTCTTTTGATTGGTAAGCAATCAACCGGAACATGACCAAGCTCCAGTGTATCAGAGAAGCACCACAAGACACACACCAGTATCAGTGTGTCTTCGACCCCCTGATGAAGCTACCTGCAATGCTTGCGAAACGTTGGGAAAACAATTCCACAAGGACACGGCTTATACCCGAAAGCCTCAACAGTGAGAACTGTAGAATATATTTTTTTTGTTATCAAGAACGAGAGTGATTTCTTATCCCTTTCGTTCCCTATCCAAACTGCGTACTTCACCGGTAAGTTTAGACAGAGCGTGCTTTAGCACCTTAAAAGAACCAAGATCCGTAATTATAAATAAAGTAACGACCGCAACGCGGGACGTAAGAAAGCTACCATTTTAACAATTTTTCATTTTCCTTAATGGTTCTAGTTCCACAGATAGCCATACTCATACAGATTAAGGATCTCATTTCCTTTTTGTATTTCAGATAAACAATAGCATTCTTTCCATCAACACCGATTTTTTCTCAATGATTTGCAATCGACTCATTATACACGCACAACTTTTTTCGTATTGCCACGCAAAAATTAAAAATAATAGTTAGAACTACATCAAAGCAACCCCACAAATTTCAAATGAATCTGTACAACAGTTTTTTTTTCAGAAAAATCGCAAATGTTACCTACTTTTTAGGACCCACAAGGTAGAACTCCTCCTTAAGGTAGAAATACATACAGAAAGAAAGAGAGTTGAGCTAGATGGAAAATACAAAGATGTGTAATGTATTGGTCGTTAAATAAACGATCGCAATTATCTTTATAAAAGAAAGTACTCCTATATATAATAGCAATAAAACCCATATAGGCTTCTGATATAAAACTAGGGGGCTGTACAAGTAAGTTGAACCTAAAAGTACTACACAGATTGCACAATAAGACACTGTGAGTAATTAATGTTGTACCATGATATGAAAGAAAGAAACGATTATATCCATCGAGACCTAGGAATAAAGGAAACTAGAGACGAACCTGCACTTATAACATCCTAATACCGAAGCATTGAAACTACCACAAAACACTAATGATCTCTGTGACGAAAAATTGGAAAACAACACAGCCTCATCACAAATAACGTACAAGAATTTCTAATAAGGTACTTCTAATGAAAAGTACCCTCATTCGCGTTAACAACACGTACAAAGAAACTGCTGATTAACCTTGAACGTAAATTAAATTGTAATTAGTGCTTTAAGAAAAGAAATATAAAACTGTTCGACATTATATTTTATATTTTTAAATTAATAGAGTTTCAGCTATGATATTTTGTCATGTTACAATCCATAATTAATAAGAACAAAAGAGTGAATAATTCTGCTCCTCAAGTGTGAGTAAACTTTCACCAATTCACCGACAATATTGTTAACGTAAGGAAAGTATCAGTAGCAGAGATGACATATTAGGTCGTCACATAAATTTTATATTTCACTGTTCCAAATTATAAAAAAATTATGATCTGATACGAACTGAGAAACTGACAGTATGAATATTATTTAAACAGAATAAAATTTGGTTGACAGATATAGTGTAACAGAGAGTAAAAACTTCTTGTTAATCAAATTAAATCGCCATCTAACGAATCTACCAAAGGGTCCAAATTTCTGTAGCAACCTAGTAACAAACCGTACTCTAATCAGCTGGCCTCTGAAAGACATAACCTTCGTGTAGATGTTCAGGAAAATGAAGTCTCGATTTCAGAAACATTCTGTCACTCTCCGACAGAGTGTAGCAATTGTGTAAAAGTGTCGAGAAACCAATCAAAAGTATTCTGATATTTCTTCGTCAAATATGAACTTCTTTGCGTGCTTACCTAACGAACCGGCGGCACACAGAAAGTGTAGCTGGTGGACCAAAATGGAGGCCACCACGGCCGAAAGACAACACAACATCGTAGCCGATCCTCAACTCATCGCTGTTTCGAAAGTTTGGACTCGATGCCTCTGGTCTCCTGATCTGAAATTTCGAAATAACATTTGTTAGTGTAAAATCCTAATTTTCTATCCGAACAATGTGTTATTCATCCAGGATTCATTCTTATAAGTAGTGTCAGTGTTGCTATTTATTCCTATCATTAGTACAAGTTCATCTTTAGATTATAATATCGCAGCCCCACAAGAAAAATGTCACAAGTCGAAAACATGTAATTTTTCGGAGGAGAATCTTTACAAAGAAAACTAATTCATTGCGTAGAATTACAAATATTAAACAAAGTGACCATAGACCTTGGCCTTTTGACATTTCTGTGGATGGTGGATTACGTATTAGAAGATATTTTACGCGATAAAATGACAATTTTTGACATTTGTCTCGCGGGGTACAACATCATACGTCATCAAAAACACAATTTCATCAACTGTTCGACTTCAGAATTCAAATTATTGCTCCATTTAAATAACTTCAAGGTAATCCTGAATTTCCCATCAATACATTTACCGCTACGACAGTCATCGATGACCGACACTTCAAAATAAAAAGTCGAACAAGACTCTCCCAGCCATAAATGCGTGAACAGAAATCGTTTTGACGCAACAATTTTGTACAAACCATTTTTCACCATTTTTTTCTAAATATTTGAAGCATCATTCCGACTGTATTCCGTGTATACCATAAATGTTTAAAATGCATTATTTATTTATCATTTTATACTTTAAAATTCTTTTTCACTCGCCACGAGTTATCCCCCTCAAAATAGCATTAGGTAGAGTCAATTATAAAAAAAGCGTGTCGTCGTGTCACGTGCCATAGTCTCGAGCAAAAAAAAAAAACGTCGAGTAAATGGATCCAAGGGGTCAACTACATAATCCAAATTGATATCTGAAATTGAATCTTATCGCACGGTAATTAAAGATAAAACAGGGCTAGACGGATGTGGCCGTTAATTATACTCGATTCAGTCCTCCCCTTCGCGCCGCGCGATGTCAAACGATCCTGGGCAAGCCTCCTGAAATCCCCCCGGACTTCGAAATAACACCACCGGTTACCCCGAAGCTGACCCAATCGGGTTCGAGAGACGCAAAGCCTCCCTAGGCAGAGATCAATGCGTTAGTCGACCGATCTGAGTCTAGTGCCGAGAAAAAGGATCGACCCTTTTCGCAGTCGGATTAACAGTTTAACACACCCTGCCCAGTCTGTGTCCCATTTCCACACGAGTATGAACTTTTACGACCCTGAACCGTCGCGCCCTGGCCGAAAATTGAAATCGAATTGGATCCTCGGAAGAAAAAAGTAAAAAATATTCAGGTTCTAATAGTCATGGGATGGGCAAGCTAAAAATATAAGGGGTATAGAAGAGATGGTACGGGCTAGCAACTCTTACTTCGGAACTTATTGCTAAACCTATTGAAGATTTTTAAGATGTAACACTTCAATGTATCCAAAACGTGTTCAGTTTGTTTACTTTTACTTTATGATACAGAGTTAAATTCAAGCTTCTTTTATTCTTGAATCGTAGTTTCACATTATTCCCGCTAGGATGAATCATCTAATATGAGCCCATCTTTTCAACTAACCCATATCGTCGCTCTAGTTCTTAATTGTTCTACCTAGACTAATTTCTAAACTGAGAAAACTCAAAAGACTTGAAAGAATGTTTGTTGTATTCTAGGTTGAATTTTCTTTATATTATGGTGAATTTGTATTTATTGAAACAATGAGACGCATGTAGATTGATTAACTAAATTTTTTTGAAAAATCGCGTTAGAGCATTGTGTTTGAACCACCTGCTCTACTACATGAAACAAACCTCGTGAGAATGCAATGAAACAAACGAACAAATATTCTACCATTTTTATCACAACGACTAATAGTAATAGCAATAATAATAATAATTAGTGTAGCTTATTTATGAAAAAGTGTTGCACAGAAGTAGCACTTTTGGGTCAGCTCAGCCGTAGGTATGGATAAGAATATGGTACGAAATGATTTTTATTAATTGTACGTTGTATACCGTATTTTGTTGGTGCCAACTGGGACTATAAAACTGACTAATTGGAAAGGGTTATAAAGCAGAAATATCCACGTAAGATATCGTTAAAGATCAGAGGTGATGGTTAAAAAAAATAGTGAACAAAACTATTAAAAATTTATTTTCTCAATAAAGCCGTTTTGTAATATTCCTTGCTTTCTTCCTGGGCCCCTTAATTGTACTAGTTCTTAAAATTCTACCTTCACAAAGAAATTATTAATTCAAAGTGAAAAATAACTGACATTGATGAAAAAGTAGAGAAAAATACGAGAATTTTCATGTAACTGCCAGAAAAGTCATCTGGACGTGCCTGAAATATTACGAGCACAGGAACAGGATTCCAGTTTATATTTGAGCCACCCTCGTAATTAAATTTCGAACTACTGTGCTGCGTCCAGTGTTGTTCCGTGCGAGGTGCGATTTTGGAAGCTGCATCACTGGTGAAACTATGCGGAATGTATTCTGGGCATGCGGCAAGGATTAAAGCTTTTTATACTCTTCGATTCTAATTGAATAGTTTAATATTAATTTTACATAATGTAATAATAATATACAATAGGATACCATTTATTAAAATACAGTACTGTAAATAATAAATAATAATTAATCATTTAGCTACTGTATACTCTAACAGGAAGATATTCATGTGTAAGTAGCTGAACCATGTCGTTAAAATCAAAATTTACTTGGTTAAAAAATGAAAATAATCGAAAGAATTCGCAATATACATTCGATTATATGTATACATAAACCGATGATATACGTATAACCAGGTCGTATTAACCCAAATTTCTTCGACCTGTACATACGTCGTTCATATACATATATTAATGGGCAGATATAAAGGATTTTTAATAACGCTTAATTAAAAATATTTAGTCTCTTCACCGTCGCGAAATAGTCTCAACGTTAACTATTACTTTTGTGTACTTTCATTTTACCATTCTCAAGAAACCTTTACAGAGATACAATTTATTACATAATGTACATAAAAACTGTGATTGTAACATAATAACTATAACCACGAATTCCAAGACAGCACAAGCCCACTGTTAGTCTATAATTTTACAAACGTGTTCACCTAACAATGTTAAAAATGATTAGAAATCGTTACAAACATAAAGGAACTGTATCTATAACCAATGCTTATCAAAATAATAAAACAATTAATGGAGATTTGTAGAAGATAAACGAAAACAAAAATTTTTTTCATCCTAATCGTTGGTAGACTCATGTCGTTTTGGAATTCATGATTTCAATGGACGTTCACCTCGTAAGTGAATAAAACATTTATTTAATGATGGAACAACAGAATCCTTGACAACAGATCTACTCAAAGAGTCAAACCCACTTCCGGACCCCAAAGAAACTCACTATCCCGACGATTTCGTCAACGACGAGGATCCCCGGAAGTCGATCGCCTGGAACCACGTATGCATGTAGACTCAAAGGCCAGGGTAAATCAGTCGGACGTTCCAACTCAAATAGAAGATTGTTACCACGAAATTCAGCGTGATTCAATTTGACCGGAAGTTCGACCGAAAACACGGCACGCCATCGAGTTCCCCGGTGCCGCCCTAATGAATCTATCGTCGACTCTGTCCCGACCCTGCTCCCCTCCACTCCTGTCGCCCTCTTTCGACGCTTCTCACCCCTAACATCCGACACTTTCGGCCGTTTCGCCGCGTAAAGGTGCGTATTCATCGGAAACCAGTTTGTGACTGCTACAGAACTGCTACCACGTCCTTGTCCTTTTTCTCATTCTGTTTTCCCAACGTTCACCTTCTAAATTTGTTCTTACTACTTTGCAATTTCCTACCAATTCTTCTCTTCAAAGTTCTCAAGAGGCCTGGTTATCCTCATGCACATTATAGCTAGTCAGAAAGCAGAAAAAAATTGAATTTTCAGAAGGTATATCATTTTAAATATATTTCCTCAAAGTTTAAACTTGATTCCACTAAAATTCACGGATTTTCAGACCAACGAACACTTTTTTTTTAAACGGTGTCGTATATTTTTTAATGCGCCAATTCGCCATATGTAACTTAATATTTTATGTATAGAATAATAAGTAGCATCAAGTAGTGCATTAAAAAATATACGACCCAATTTAAAAAAACAAAGTTAACCTTCATATGACCTCTACGCGTCCACATAGAGAAAAGTTACACACATCAGAAAGTGATGTGATATCCCCTGATACCATTTAACATTTGTCTTAAACATTTTTTAATGTCGTCAACAGTTTCGGAGATATTCGAGTGGGTCGACTTAAATGGGAAACCCAGTATGTATACATAAAACTTTTCCATATTTACACTAAAAACAATATAAAAATCAAACGACCCATTTATCCCCACTATCTAACCCAAACCTCTCCCCAAAATGGAGGTATGGGCCAAATAATTAGTTGTAGAACTTTCATGTTTTTAAAGATTCTTTTGAAATAACAAAGTGATGTTGCATGATGCAACATCGACGGTATGACCCTGCTAATTATAATTGTTCAAATTTAAAGCACGGTTCTCTCTCAGTTTGATCACTACTACAAATTAAGTGATAACTGACGCAAGCCTACCCCTCTCCTCTACTGTTCGCGAACAGTTCGAAAAGATTTCGCACACAGTGGAGACGCGCCTGAAGAGAATCCTCTCGCGCTGCCGCCGCAGTGGGCCAGATCGACGAATTAGCTGTTCACATCGTTATTTCAAGACTTCAGGACAATAATATCTAGGTCGTTGAATTCGTCTTGACGTCAGGTGTAATATTATTAAGTGAAAAATGTATAGTGACCATAAACAAATAAGGTGACCTTATTTTTTATTATAAACAAAATTATATTTTAATTTTTTATATTGAAATTTGTGTAACAGGAAGTGCTCATTAATCTTTGTTCGAGGCATTTCTTTATCAGAGCTTCGAAAA